TCCTAACCCTCCTGTTTCAAATGCATAGTAAAAAGATTAGCTGTGCAGATCAGGCTGATGCTATTTAAACACCAAGAGGCATATGGTTTTCACTGTTAGCCAATTCCAAACACACAAACGTGGTTTATTTCAATTTTAACACGTGGGCTGCCATATACAGAATATAAATCCAGAACAATGAACTTTTAAAACAGCTTTAAAGGAACTGAAAAAAAGCTGATAATATCAGGTGCTACAGGGAGCTTAGCCTCTTTCTTCTTACCACATCGAATATCCTAATAACACGTCTCATTCTTAAACAGGCTATATTTCTACTGTTAGATAGCTTTCTGTAAATGTTTTAAAAATCTTCCTTTTCAGCCCAAAGTCTACAGTGCCATGTAAATTCCAAATCCTTACAATATAATTTATCAGAAGGCAAGAGATCAAATAAGTTATTGGAACGGCTTCTGTGTCTTCCATGTATTTGAAAGGTCACTTTGCTGCTGATGAGAAGAAAACTGCAGGATTCATTCACAGACAGAGAATCTAATTGCTCAACATTTCATGTAAGTATACTCAGACTCTTCCAAGCTGTTCATTACCATTTTTACCCTGACTGCAATGGAATTATTTAACATTTCAAACCATCAGATACGCTCAATCACAAAGCTCTGCAGATATCATTGCATTTAAAACACCACTTCTTTCAAGTGCATCACAAGTAGTGGTGTTCATTTTCCATTTTACATCAAGTCAGAAAGCCACCGTTACTATCACAGCAGTTTTTGCACTTCCTAAGCCCATTGTAAATACTTATATTTCTACCATACAATATACCCTGTGTAATAGCGATTTCCCGTCCCTTTTCTGCCCACCACTCATAGCCTCAGTATCAGTTCTATCAATATATTGCCTCCTTCTCTCTCCCCCTTTGTTTGCTGTAAGCCAAGCCCTGGCATCTGCGAGCCATATGTTTGACAATAGCGAGCTATTCAATTCCTCGTTTACACCACACGAGGGTGTTTCAGGCTGTGCAGGATGCCAGAATCAATCTGGAAGTCATCCCGTTTGGAAAGGAACCAAGGGGCAAACAGATATATTATTTTTCCACCGATTAAAAGTTTTATCAGGGCAAACTGGTACAGGAGACTTTGAAAGGAAAAAGATGAAACATCATAAACTAGAAAACAGATAGAAGAGGAATTTTAAACACATAATCGGATGTTCCCTGAAATCAAATAATCTTTACTGTGGACTTCCCTGAGCTTTGTCTTGTCCTTAAGGAATAATTTCAAATATAATATGATTTCATATTATTTCTATTAAAATCTCCTTAGACAGGATTAAGCAATCATTATCCCCCTACAGAGCTTTTTAGGAGCTTTCCATTGGTTTATTGCTCAAAAGTTAATTGCAAAGTCAGGAAGAACTGCTTACTAACAGAATAAATAAAACAAAATTTCTCTTTTGTATCCTGCTTCTTCTGGAGTCAAAGCATACACAGATCTTTCTAATGTTTGCCACCTCTACCACGTGATTGCCTTAAATCCAGCAAAGACCATGCAAAGTAACCAATACCCTGTGCTAGTTAACAGGTATAATTTGTGGGCTCAGCTTTGTAAAGCAAACACAGTCACTGAAACAAAGGTGGAGCACTTCTGAAGGCTTTCAACACAGCTGCAAGGAGAACATTCCTGAAAAGAGAAAACTCCATAGTCTGTATTAAGATGGGGGAAACAGCCCATCCCAGGAAATTCCGAGTGGCAAAGCCTATTATCAGCCACTGTTATCTAATGAGTGTGGCACTGGGATGGCCAGGGAGCCTGTGCTCTCCCAGCCTGCTCCCAGGCACTGCCACACCTCTGCCTGCATTCCAAGTACTGGAGCACACCGTGCAAACTACAGGGGTGCTTCTTAAATAAACAAGCCAAGCTTAATTAATTTGCAGGACCAAAAGGTGCTTCGTAAGAGAAGTCGCTGCAATACTGCTTAAAAAGGATGTGTGATTCAGAGTGAGGCAAAAGGTAATTCAGGGGGATTAAGGCTTGGGATGGCTGTCAGGTGTGCCGGGAGGAAGGCACCGTCGAAGCTCAGAGCTGTCCTCTCTGTTGTTAGAGAGGTGGAAACCAGGCTGAGGACACCTGTCTGCTCCTCGCACCCTACGGTCTTGGGGCTGACAGCCTTTCCTGACCCTCCATCAGCACCACCTGGATGCAACAGGCAGGAATACAAACCACAGAGTGCTGGGAAGGGTCACTCGCTCCACTGAAATCCCCAGACCTCACCACTCACTTTACAAGGCACATTAGCAACATTAGCAACTGCAAACAAATACTGAGAACGAATTCCTTCCTTTTGTCATTTTTTTCCTCTCACCCTGCAGCATTCACCATCTCCTCAGGAGCATGAAAACCACTTGTGCATAAAACCACCTAGCTGCTTAGCTTTCCAGTGTGTTGCTTTTACAGCTGTGTAATACAGGTATTAAAGACCACATACAGCAGGCCCAGCTAATTTCACAGCATGACATTACATGTTATTACATGACCTCAGATTCTGACTTGGGTCTGCTTTAAAGGTTTTATTGTGTCATGGATTTGCATTTAGCAATGTGGTTTTGGCTGGGGTAGAGTTCATTCTCTTCACAGTATCTGGTATGAGGATTTATGAGCTGGTGTTTTGGATTTATGATAATGCAGAGATATTTCCATTACTGCTGAGCAGCTCTTACACAATGTCAAAGCCTTTTCTGCCTCTCACTGCACCACTGAGTGGGCTGAATTTTGAGGGGACACAGCTGGGACAGCTGGCCCCAAGTGACCACGGGGATGTCCCACACCGTATGGTATTGTGTTTGGCACATAAAACTGGGAAAGAAGAAGGAAGAGGGGGACATTCAGAGCAATGGTGTTTTGCCTTCCCAATTCACCATTACACTTGGAGTCTGGCTTTCCTGATGTTGACTGAACACATGCCTGCCGGTAGGAAATAATGGATAAATTCCTCGTTTCTCTGATAGTGTGCAGCTTTTGTTTTCCCCGTTAAACCGTGTTTATCTCAGGGCATGATTTTACTCACTTTTACTCTTCCGGTTCTCTCTCCATCCTACTGGTGGAAGTGATCTGCCAGCCAGGGTTAAACCACATTTAAGACTCTTAAAAAATCTTTACTATACTCACACAGCAAGCTTTGAACATTTTCCACTTAAAGAAATGCTTTTATCTAATACTCCCATAGCCACCTTCAAGCATCTGGTGACTTGTTCTGGGCCAAGTAATTCCAGAGTCGGCAGAACCCAAGTCCGAGCCAATGATTCCAGTTTATACAGCAGGGCAGCAGCTGCCAAAAATAATCACTAAATTGTAGAATGGTCTGGATTTAAAGAAATCCCGAAGTTATCGTCTAGTTCCAACCCCTCTACCATGGGCAACACCTACCACTAGACAAGGCTGCTCAGTGCCCTATCCAGCCTGGCCCTGAGTCCCTCCAGGGATGGGGCAGCTGAAGACGCTGCGGTTGAGTGGGAACGGGGAAGGGACGGGAAGAGAAGGGAGAGGTACGAAAGGACGGGAACGGACGAGAGGAAATGCAAAGGAAAGACGGGGCGGGAAGAGGGAAGGGACGGGAAGGACGGGGCGGGAAGAGGGAAGGGACGGGAAGGACGGGGCGGGACGAGAGGCGGGAGCGGCGCCGCTGGCCGCCGGGCGCGGTGCTGCGGCTCCACCTGCTGGTGAGCGGCGGGAGCGCGGGCGCTGTGCCCTCCCGTTTGTCCCGGCGCAGGGATCAGAGAGGAAAACCCTCGGGACAGGCTGGAAGAGCCCAGCCCGGGCGGCTCTGCCGGGCATCGCTGCCCTGCGGAGCAGCGCTTGCGGATACAGCAGCTGCAGCCTTCGGGGATGGGCGGTCGGGGAGCAGGTGACACCCATGAGCGCTGCTCACGGTCAGAGGGAACATCTCCGGCCAGAAGCACCCATGGGGATCGGGATACCCGAGATAATAAAATAAAATATCCTCCTTCGGCATGCATGGTATGGACAGTCATCCTCGTCTAATGACAAGGAGGAGGTCTGTACTGTAGAATAATCCACACCTACTGGTGCATATTATTGTAGAAAAACTCCACACTCCTTAGAAAATTGTTATCCATCTGTTCGGGGTTTTTTTTGTTGTTTGTTTGTTTGTTTATGGGTTTAAAACTTATTTTTTAAGAGCAACAATCTGCCTTTTTTTTGCAGCGATGGACAGTATGACAAAAGTTAAACTACTGTGCTTCTACAACACAGACAAGAAATGCTCAAATTAACATTGACCATTCCGTGCACTGAAGGTCGGCACAGTTTTGTAGGAAACAAAGTGTTTTCTGGTCAGCACAGATGATGGATTTAGAACTGCTTGCGCTATAACGTAAATAATACAATGAAATACTCTAAAAAGGTTTGTTAGCTCATTCTTTCCAGTAAGCCATTCATTTAATCTAAAGTCCTGGGAAATACAGTGCTCTGAACCCTGACACTCATCGACCAGTGTTTAGCAGTAAATAAAGCAAATCCCATTCCTAAATCAGAATATCAATTTTGACATGATTGAATTTTAGCTGATTTGCATTAATTACAGAAACACCATTGTGGTAACAATACATTTCCAAACGAGCTTAGAGGGATGGTTTCTTGGCTGCCTGAAGGTACTGTAATTGCTGCCAAAAGCAGTGCTCTTCCTGCAGCTCTGGTGCCTTGCATTGGTGATCACACAGCTGCTGACCTGGCTGAGAACTGTGCAGAGGGCCCAGCCCAGCCTCTGCACCGTCATTTATTCATTAGTGCCAATATGAGGAAATCTGTAGCTTGGGCAGGACAGGGGGAAGACTGGATGATCTCTTTCACAGGCTTAAGCCACCTGGAAAACTACCCCTGAGGTCTTGGAAAATGTGAAGATAGCTAATGATGGAAGCTCATTAAGACCAAAGAAAAAGAAAGTTATTTTTTTCTTTACATATACTGTATATATAATTCTAAAAAAGCAGACTTTAAAATAAGTATTATTTCAAAGGCATAGCACTTCCAAAAGGACAAGAATTTTCCATTATCTTTAGGCTTGCTTCAGTCCTTAAGTCTCTGGCCCAAAACTGACTTTCTTGTGACTTCACCAATAACAACTGGGACTTCTTTGCATACACTTACACCAGGCCTGCACCACGATCTTGAATCTCACCAACCACCCTCCATAATCCTGTGCCAAGAGATGCAGGTTATTTTCTTTCTGAGTATGGTGCTGATTCTTTCTTTTGGTTTCACAGTGATAGAAAATTACATGTTGGGTTATGTTAGTCCAGAGTAAGAATAAAAAATTGCAAGAACAGCTCGCAAAATCCTGTGTTTATCCACTGTTTCCTGTTTAACCATGGTGTTCATAATGCAGAGCTGTCATTTCTATACATTTAATAGATGGACAAGCTTCAACACTCTTCAGTCAAGCTGGCAGAGTGATGGCAAATTCCCATCTGATCACCCAATTCAAATTAAGCAGATGTAATCTCCCAGTGACACTCACAGTGCTGTTAACGTAGTGCATACACAGAGATACCCAGGGTGAAAGGAGTGTCCCAAGGAGTGCTCCACTTCCAAAATTAATGTCATGCAGGAGCTGTGAATTTTAATATGGGTCATTAACACCAGGCTCCTGTTCTAAAGGCAGAGCCTTTTAGCCGTGTCAGTGTTCTGTGTGCTACACAAGGGGTGCAGGTGGTGTTAGAGGTTTTCCAGCTCGTGGCAGGGTGGGGGAGTCCCATCACACTCCACCATGGAGGTGTACTTTATTGGAGGTGGCGGTGGCTTGAAAGATGGAGGTCTGTTCATACTGAAACAGAAGAGAGAAAATGCTCTATCACACAGAAGTAGCATTTTTAAAAGACAGTTGTAAAATGTTCACAGGAGGAGGTGGATTGGCACTAAGTCATTATGAGAGTACCTGACATTAGCTCTTACATACTGTGACTTCCCTGAGTCTGTTTTATAACTCCAGCACACCTCCTGCCATTCATTTGGCTTTCTTAGCTCCCACCTCACAGTTTTACTTCATTCATGTTTTAAAAGAACAGAATATGGTCCTGATGAACCATTCAAAACCCTCGCACAGGCCTTTTGCTCACACTGCTCTCTGAAAGTATATTTAAAGACTTGCAACTTTTTTGGGGATGAATTTATAAATAAAGGTCCCATCTCAAGTCAGTTTAAAAAATCAATCCTGTTTTTACCTTTGATATACAGGATTTGCAGTTGTGTTTCAAGAGAGTTTTCTAGAATAATAGGTGATTAATTATAACTGTGATTTTTTGAGTATTTGAGTAATGTTAGTATGATTTAAAATAATTGTCTCTTAGATATTGCTTTCACCAGTAGATCTTGGAGTGCTTTAGTAGGGACTCTAACTTTGGTAATAATTACAAGCTCAATGCTTCTTTGACTGGGATTGAGTTTCGGGTAGCCTACTTTCACATATATTATTCAAAACTCAAATAAAGCTGCCCTCGAAGTACAATTTCATTAAAACATGTCCCCAAGTAACCATAGAAAATGAGACAGCAAAAGCAGCTGGCAGGGAGGCTAATAGAAATGGGGGGCTCTGGGGACAAAAATTGACTGTTATTCTTCCCTTACACCCTGAAGCTGCACTGCAGCTCTTTTCTTAAAGTTTATTTTAAGGATAACCCACAGAACAGATGGAAGGACTGAGAACACTTTACATATTGCTGTATGGAAAAAATGGCATTAGTGATCCATGTACTTAAAGGCCTTGTGTGCTACGGGTTGTTTCAAATGGAAAGATGTAGACCCAAACAGCTGGATCAGAGTTGGTGCTGCCCTCTGTGCCACCCCTCCCACCCCTGTGGCTCTATTCACTGGTACTTACATCTCTTTCTGGTACTGACACCATTTCCTGATGCCTAAAGCTACCAGAAAGCTGCAGAAGAGGAGCAGGACAGCCACCACTGTTGGCCAGGGGAAGCGACTGGCTTTGGTGTTCCTCCCATCACCTGTAAGGGACACACAGAGCTCATCTGTGTCCTCAGAGAGGAGGGAGATCCAGGCTTGCTGCCTGTGGCTCAGCACTGGTATCAGTGCAGCCCCCCATCACCAGGCTGAGGATCCCAAACTCCGAACATTGTGGCTCTGATTCATGGACTTGGCCCACTTTTGTTCTGACTGGGTGTGTGAGCTGATTTCAGCCACCCACTGGTTCACTTGACAAGATTATTTAGGCACAGCCCAGAGTGCATTTAATCCAAAACCCATTGGCTTTCTCTGTTCCCCTGTGAGCTGCTCTGCGAGAAGCTGCATGTCACAGGGCAGGCAGGCACATCTGCCCAGCCCTCCTTCCCAGTGGCTGATTTTTCACACCACTGATGCCAGACCCTGCCAAAATGTCTGGCCAAGGGCTCAGCTGCCTTTTGAGGTGAGCTCTTGTCGGCAGCACAACATCCCAGTCCCGTTCCAGCTGCCTCTCCCCACTGCAGTGCTGGGATTCCCCTCCCCTTCCCCTTCTGCACAGCCACCCTTGGGGGTGCTGACAGAGGTGCCCTCAGGTCCTGGGTATGGATAAGAAGGAGAGATGGAGCACAATCCCACTCCAGCTGCCAGAGGGTGCAGCAGTGTCTGGGTGCCAGAGATTTCCATGGGTGATGTGCCTCGGTGTCACCTCCCCCTGTGCAAGGCTGGCCACACTGGTGTGTCACCAGGCTGGGTCTTACCCACCATGGCAACCAGCACTGTGGCCAGTCCACCACTCTGCATGAGCCACGAGATATCCCTGGGGAGCAAGAGTGTCACTGGCCAAACTTTGGTGCTGGAAGAAAGCATGCACTGGAGCTTTGCTTGCAGATGGAGGGAGAAGGCTGGGATGCCAAAAGCCTGTGATAACCTGTGGTATGAGGACACAACAGCTGTGGCTCCTCTTTTCATCTCTTTTCCCTTTTTTTGAAATCCCCTGGTCAAATGGACATGATGCTCCAGGTTTTGTGCTCCTGCAGTGGCATGCTGAAAGAACAGGATTTGTAGGATAATGTCTCACCAGTACTGTTCAGCAGGCTGCTGGTAGGAAAGAAATCTTTTCCTCTGGTAACTGAAGCTGTCTGGTCTGTGATGCTGTAGGACAGGTTACCTGTAAAGATATGGGCACAGAACATTTTTAGTAACTTATTTGTTTTTTAAAAAATTAAGGTTGTCTTTTGAACCCTCTGTTATTCACCTAACTGAAAGCAGGAAATCAAATTCCAGAATCAGGGTGTAAAAATTCACTTGGCAAAATGTCTACATTTTTGGCCTACAACCTGGTGTTGGATAAAAAACGTGGTTTTATCAAATTAAATATTATAAGAAGGGAAGGGAAAAAAGAGAAAGAAAGAAAGAAAG